CAAGAAGCGGAGTTGGAAACGCTAATGAAAACAGGAATCAACAGCCTCAACCACCAGTGATTGAGCAAGCTCCTTTAGTAGCTGCAACACCTGAGCCAATGACAATGGCTGGGGTACAAATGATGATTCAAACTATGTTGGATCGTCAAATGGAAGAAACGAGGCGTCTGCTTCGATAGAATCGTGAAGAACTGTCAATTCACGTGGAAGAGCCCGAAGTTAATGGAGGGCAGTCTGAAGGAGAGAACTTTAGTGGGATAATTGGTCAAGACAACTCACCGATAGATCGACAAAACAACCAAGATGGAGGGAATAATGGACTGGGATGCAAGTACAAGGACTTTTTGACTTGCAAACCATCGACCTTCACTGGAAAGGAGGATCCGATCGGAGTCATGGATTGGATCTATGAAATGGAGCTGGCCTTCATGACGTGTGGGTTGCAAGGGCAAGCTGCAGACCACGTTTGCAGTACTGCAGTTCTGGGGTGGGGCTGTTCGTTGGTGGAACACTCTGGGGAAGACCCTAAACCTTAATGAACCACTGCAATTGACACGGGCAGAATTCTTGATGCAGTTCAAGCGCAAGTTCTGCTCGGCCCAAAATCTGTTGGAGTTGGAGAACAAGTTCCTGACATTGACGAAAGGCAGCATGTCAGTTGACGATTACACAAACGCCTTCACAGACAAGATGGATTTTGCCTTGCGCATCGTCCCCGACGAGCTGACAAAAGTGGATCGGTACACAAAGGGACTCCCATGGGAGTACGCAGTGCCAGTACGTCAGGCACCTACTCTGGAGGCAGCTATTTGGGCTGCCAAGTCTGTTGAGGACATGATCAAAGGAAGAACCGCCAGTAAAGTTGAAGTTGGTTAAAAGATAAAGTTTGAAGGAACTTCAGGTTCCAACAAGAAAAGCAAATTTTCGAAGTCTGATTCGAAAAAGTTTGGAGGAGGAAAAGGAGGCGAATCGAAATGGTGTGAGAAGTTCAAGAAAAAACACTCTCGGAAATGTAACGAGGATGTGACCTGCTACAAGTATGGAAAGACGGGGCATTATGCCAATGAGTGTCCGTCCAACAAGAGAGTGTGCTTTGGGTGTAATGAAGAGGGGCACATTTTGAAAGACTGTCCGAGAAAGAAGGAGGCAGCAAACCCAATATTCCCCCAAAGCCTAAAGCAAGAGCTTTCCAGATGACACTGGAAGCTGCTAAAGAAGAAGCTGATGTCGCTTCAGGTACCTTTCTCGTAAACAATTTGCCTGCCCAAATTTTATTTGATTCTGGAGCCAACTACTCCTTTATATCGCATGAATTTGGTAGAAAACTAGCTTTGCATGTTGATAGACTAGATAATGCTTTATTAGTCGAAGTTGCTAGTGGCAAGTTTGTACCTGTTAGCCATCGTATGAAAAACATCTTAATCGACATGAATGGGAATAAGTTCCACGAGGAATTATTGCCTATCGAACTAAATGGTTTCGACATCGTGCTGGGAATGGATTGGCTTAGTGCCAATGATGCCGATATATTATGCAAGAAGAAGATAGTCAAAGTAAACCCGCCAGGGAAAGAGTCATTCATGGTGTACGGGGACAAACGCAGAGTAAATTCTGGGATCATTTCATTGATGAAAGCCAGAAAGTGTTTGGCCAAAGGATGTACATCATACCTAGCATTCGTGATTGATGCTAAGAAAGAGAAGAAGGAGGTGTAAAGTATTCCGGTGCTGTGTGATTATCCGGATGTATTTCCTGAGGATCTTCCTGTATTACCGCCTGATAGACAAGTGGAGTTCAGAATAGACTTGTTACCTGGAACAACCTAAATTGCAAAAGCACCTTACCGATTAGCACCAACGAAGATGAAGGAGCTGATGATGCAACTTCAGGAGTTATTGGACAAAGGTTTCATTAGACCTAGTTCATCGCCCTGGGGAGCTCCGGTGTTATTCGTGAAAAAGAAAGATGGAAGTATGAGAATGTGCATCGATTACAGAGAGCTGAACAAGGCAACAATAAAGAATAGATATCCGTTGCTGAGAATTGATGACCTGTTCGATCAACTACAAGGTTCAAGTTATTTTTCAAAGATCTACCTGAGGTCAGGATATCATCATCTGAAAGTAAGAGAGCAAGATATCGAGAAGACTGCATTCAAAACACGATATGGACACTACGAGTTTTTGGTTATGTCGTTTGGACTAACCAATGCTCCAGCAGCATTCATGGATTTAATGAACAGAGTTTGTAATCCGTTCCTTGATAAATCTGTGATAGTGTTCATATATGACATTCTGATTTACTCGAAAAGCCAAGAGGAGCATGGCAGACACTTGCGAGAAGCAATCTAACATCAAATCAAACATGCTAGGTATACCAATCAAACACAAGACATAACCAACAAGCAAAGTCTAAACTAATATATTAAAACCATGAGTTCCAGCTTCATCTAGCTAACAGAAGCCGCTACATTTAGCTGGATATTCTAACAAATAAGCTAACACAAGTCATATTTTAAAAGCATATTTAAAAGTACCAAACTAAAAAGTGTATTATGACTTATTCTTCTTCCTTGGTGTTAAGAACAGTTCCCAGGCCCTTGGACTCTGTAATTTTCGACTTTTGGAACTTCTCTAAGCCAACTAACCTCCTCAAAGTCGTAGGGATCAAGGATATATATAGTTTGTGGATTTGGTCCGATTCACGTCGTGAGCCTTTAAGGTTCACCTCGTGAATCTAGTAGATATTCATATTCAACACGGATTCTTGATCCGCGATGTTTATCTTCTAGAAGGCCTAACTCACGCCGTGAATCTTCTAACACTCACCTCATGAGTACATATTTTTCTGAATTTCTTATCCTTCAAGCCTTTAACCTCCAAAGTTCCATTCTTTAACGCATTTAGTCCCTTTTCTTCAAAATGCCTTCTTTTTTGTTACAACATACAATTTGACCTTATAAGTATCATTATTCCATGCAAATAACCAAAATATTAATTAAAATGTACTTAAATATTGCCTAAAAACATGTATAAATATGGCAATATCGAATACCTCACACTTATTCTTTGCTTGCCCTCAAGCAAATCTAATTATTATTATTATTTTTTTAAATTTAAACTCTTATCACTAACATCACATAGAACAATCCATTTCAAGCTCAGTCATTATACCAAGACCTCAATTCGCATATTTGTGTCTACAATCTTAATAAACTTCCCAATCCTAAATACTCACATTCCTTATGAAACTTCACCCCTTAGATTATATGGTACTCATTTCTGCAACCCTCTGAATCAATCCCCAGAAATCTTTCTTAATCTCAAGGTAATTTTTGTTAAGCTACCCAAGCATACATAATCTAGATTTTACAACTTTTGATACCACCATGGAGCTCTTGAATACTTCACTTTCTTGAACATTTCATCTTTGATTTCTTCTAATTCACCACCTTTTTGTGTAATTTTTGGTATCTTCAATTTTTTGATTCTTTGGAATTTTGATCTTTTGATCTTCATACTTGATAGCTCCAAAATTCTTTAACTTTTTGGTAATTTCTCTCTCTTTTTTTACATGTATAACTTCGGAAAAGCTTGAAGATCCGGTTAGACTATCTCGTTCTTCTGATGGCGGTGTCGTACAGCCGCTCGCTTTTCCGGCATCGAACTCCTCCACTCCGGTTGCTCTGTCTCTATGCGATGGAGTCGTTCGCCCCTTGCCTGTCAACATTCAGTCAACGCCTTTGTCAGAGCACCAAGGCTCTTTTGGGAATGATTCCCCTGCACTCGTTAATCAGGTGCCTTCATTGGTCTCTTCTATCATTGGGAAGGGCGATTGTTTTTTTGAGGAAAGTCAACCTGTCATCGTTGAGGGCAATCCGTCTCTTTCCCCTACCAAAGACCCCACACACATTAAATGCTTACCATTTGCAGGAGACAAAGCATTTATTGCTCCAATTAATGTGCCTGAAGACTCTCTCTCACATGCCCCTCGCCCGCTTGACTCCCACGCTCTCAAACTGCCACCCAAAGAAATTAATGGCCCATCGTCTTTTGCGCCAATTAGCCCACGGTACGTGCCAACCTTCTCTCAGCCTATCGTGAATTCTTCAATCCATGAGGTCCCTAGCCGAAATTCTCTCCACTTTGAGCCCAGCAGCCCACGTGGTTTCCACCTCCTCTTAAATTTATCTTTTGTGGATATTATTAAAGGCTGCCCTCCATGTAATGGCCCACTCTCCTTTGGTCCTACCTATTCTACTTTTAATCTTGAAGACCCGAAGACTACGCATAATTCCTCTATTGATCCTACTGCCAAATCCAATGAAGAGGTTCTTCTCTGTAATCCTCTAAAGCTCCAATTTGTTAACTCTCTTGAAACCTTAGAAGATGACACTTTGATTATTCCCCCAGAAATCATGTCTAAGGGTAGTGTGCCTTTTGAACATACTTTATATGGTTACTTTGTCGGTAAAAGGCTAGCTTTTCCACTTGTTAAATATCGTCTCCAAGACTTATGGAAAGAACATGGAATTAGCGAAATCTTTATTAATAACGATGACATGTTCTTTTTTAAATTTGATGACGACAAGGGTATGAATTACGTCATTCAAAAGGGAATTTGGAAGATTAATGGCATCCCTCTCTTCCTTAGAAAATGGGACCCGGATGTTTTCATTGAAAAACCAACTCATGATCGGGTCCCCGTTTGGGTTAATATGTTCGGCATCCTCCTCCAACTCTTTAATAGAGATGGCTTAAGTCTTATTGCTAGCAAACTGGGAAAACCTTTGGAGGTTGACTCTTCTACTACCACCATGTGTGAGCGGGCTACGGGTAGAGCGGTTTATGCTCGTATTCTTATTGAGATGTCGGCCGAAGCCCCTTGGGAAAAAGAGATAAAAATCCAAGCTTTCACGGCTAAAGATGACACCGCTACTACCCTTAGAGTGGAGTATTCTTGGAACCCCAAGAGATGAGACCATTGCAAAATTTTTGGTCATGATCTCACCACTTGTACCTCCCAAGCGACTAGCTATGCCCACTCCAATAGAAGTTGATAATGAAGGGTATCAAATAGTTCATAGGAAATCTAGAACTTTTCCTATCCCCAAAAAGAAAGCTCACATCGATAACCGTAAAGGTAAAGGGCCTGCGATAAAGATCTCCCAAGTCTATAAACCTGTGATTCGTGAAGAGCCGAAGAAAAAGGGTTACATCTAACATGTTTGATGCTCTATCTTATCAAAGAGTGGATGACACTGATGATGACTCTCGTCTCCCTCCTGTCTCCCAATCCAGAGATACCCTCCCTGCTCATGAAGCGCAGCCGAGCTCCTTTCCCACAGCTTCTGTCGCTCTGGCGGGTTCCTCTCAAGGTGGTGGTATCTCCATTCCTTTTGATCAGGGATGACGACTTTGATCTTTCTTTGTTTTGTTAGTTCTTTTGTTTGTTTGCCTTTGCTTTGGGGCATGTCCCTTACTTTTGGCTTGTCTTTATTTTCCTTGGGCGTTTGCCCTCTTTCTTTGTATTTTATTTTCTTTTTTTAATAAAATTTGCCAAGGGTAATCCCTTTTATCCAAAAAAAAAACCCTAAACCTTAAACCCTAAACCCTAAACCCTAAGCCCTAAACCCTAAGCCCTAAACCCTAAGCCGTAAACCCTAAGCCCTAAGCCCTAAGCCCCAAGCCCTAAACCCCAAACCCTAAACCCTAAACCCTAAACCCTAAACCCTAAACCCTAAACCCTAAACCCTAAACCCTAAACCCTAAACCCTAAACCCTAAACCCTAAACCCTAAACACTAAACCCTAAACCCTAAACCCTAAACCCTAAACCCTAAACCCAAAACCCAAACCCAAAACCCATGGAGCACTTTCTCTCTCTAGAATTTTTCTCTCTAGGAAGTTCTTTTGGAGATTAAGTGTTCTTGGTTTTTTCTTGGGTTTTATGTGCTTAATCTTCTCGAATCTGTGAAATTTCATTGTTTTTGCTATGGGTTTACATCGTAGAGTTCGTAAATCAGCAAAGAAATCAAAATCAATTGACAAAGGGGTTAGTGTTCTTGGTTCCTTCCACTTTGAAGATAGCCCTCAACAGAAAGATGATCTTCATGGCGTTCCTCTTCCTCAGGAAATCAGCTCCAGTTCTTCTTCCTCTGCAGCTTTTTGTGTTAGTAACCATAGCCTAAGAGGTAACTTCTTCACTGACTCGCCTATTATTTCAGAGAACCAATCCACTGTTCATGTAGTTGGTGAGGAAGTAAACTCCCATGTGTCGACTCCTGTTGAACTCTCTAAAGATAAGAGAGCCCTCGAGGATGATGGTGGTACACCAACTAAAATTTCAAGTGTTCGTTCTTCTGCTCAAGTTATGAAGGACTCTCATGCCAAGGTGGTTACTGGTGACGTTCCTGTTCCTAATCCGTCCCCTTTAAATATAGTCAAGTTAGATGGCATGATTGAGGTGGGTTCGGATTCTGTAGAAGAAGTTCACGCTCATTCAGATCCAAAACTCGTGAATGGAGAGGATTCCAATAATTTTGGTAGTGATGTGGATATGTCATCGTCTTCTCCATGTGCTGGTGTCACAACTTCGTCTCCTGGTTCCCTTGGTCTCATCTCAGGCCCTGGGATTATCTCTCCGTCCTTGGCAGCGCAATCTCATAAGGTCTCATCGGTAAACATTGCTTCTCCGCCGTGCATGGAGGCTTCCTCAAAAAATGGCATTTTTTTAGAAGGTTTTGGTATGTCGCAATCAAATTCCATGGAAACTGCATCTCCTTCTGTCGCTACGTCTTCACACTTGGAAAGTCATATCGTTGTTGGGGAAAGAGCCGAGAATATCTCTTCTAAAATCGGAATTGATGCAGCGCGTGAATCAGCCTCGTTTAACACCCAAAAAATAGCATTTAATGCTCCCTTTGGTAAAAAATAATTATATGGAAAGTCAAAAGCTAGATAATTTGATGGATGGTAACGTGGCTTCCTTAAATGCCGATTGCATTAATTACCCTACCTTTCTTGATGATGGTGAGATAGCCACGTCGATTTCAAAGGCCCCTCCCCCCATACGCATTAATGAGGGCATCCTTGAAGGGGACAAGTCTCTTAATGATCCAACCTTTGCCTCTCACTCCCCTCTCAAGCGCGTGGAAGATCCCCCCCCTCATAAAGCTGTCGAATGAAAGTGTTGCTGAAGATCACATGCCTCCTACTCATTTAAATGTTGCAGGCCCAAATGTCCAACCCAATGTGCATGCTCCCCTATTACGAATTTAATTCACTTCGGGCCCAACAGCCCAAGAAGTATCCAGCCACCACTTTCCTTTGCTGAAATATTAAAAGGTGGTGCTGGCCCTTCATTTTTTGAGCCCAATCCAAAGAATCTCGATGCTGCTATCCCCGGAATTCAAAACAGTGCTACCGAAAAAATTGATATGGTATTTTCCAAGCCTATTTCTCTTAATTTCATCAATAATATTGAAATTTTGGAGGATGATCACATCTTAATTCCTAAGGAAATCATGGAAAAGGGTTGTAAGGTCCTGGAAAGGATCTTTACCAATGATCAAGCAACAAACAATCACAATAGAAGTAGAAGAAGAAAAGAAATCAAGCTTGCACACGTTTATAGCATAAAACGTCTGGTACAAATCGACAGAATGAACCGTGAACACTATGGCATCAAAAACTAGACAAAGACCTACAACTCCTCTATATATACTCGACTTGGGCCGCAAACTGGGTTTACGGCCGTAAACGTGTTTACGGCCGTAAACTCACCCTTGGACCGTAAACTGCTAAACAACACCAAAAACTCACAAAAGACTCATACTGAACAATTAAAATGAAATCCTAGACCAAACCATTAACTGGACCCTTCAATCTCCCCCTTGGTTTGGTGCTAGCTTGGACTCAGTTTTTGTCGATCACCAGCACATCATATTTTCCCATAGCTCCATTCCACATCTCCTTCTCGATAATCTCAGCAACCATCGAAGTGTACTCCTTTGCAGCGGACTCAAAAAGGTCTTCAGCCACCTTGATATGATGAATGGAGAGCTGATGTATATCCCACCTACCAAATTGAAGCAGATCCCTCTTTTCATACAAACGGATACAATCGTCTTTAAGCTTGATGACAGCAGAAGCTGTAGTTTCATCAAACACCCAATATTGCATGGATTTGAGAGATCCATCTGGATGATTTTGAGGAACGGGAAGCTGCTTTACTTGAGCAGTAGCGGGCCACATCACTGACCGAAGTGGCTGATTTGTTTTGGGATCAATAACGCTAGGATAAATCTTGATGATAGATTCTGCAGTCTTCATCGAAGGAAAGCCCTTAGCTACTTGATCTTCCAAAAATGTCTTGAAATGAGTCGCCATGGGATTGGTTGATGGATTTGAGAAAGGAGCATTAGACAGCTCCGTAAGATCAACCCTAGTAAAAGAGTGAAAATCGTGAGCATCTTTGTACATTTCAGTATTGCCGCTCTTTCTTCTCACGATCCACATGTTCATAGTGTCATGAAATCCCCACGAAACGATCCCTGACCTATCACCATAAATGTCTCTGAACCGATTTTCTCCCAGATCCGTAAAGGTGATCTTTGATTGATCCCAGGGAGCATTGTGATCTAAGCTCCTTTTGAATAAAAATTGACCCTTTTCAGCTGACTTGGCCAATTTAGCACGTTTCAATGCCACTACATTCGGAGCTTGCGCCGATTCCTTGTCAAAACGGTCAACAACGGTGGTTGTTCTTGTAGGTTGTGGAACTATGGGAGCATCTTGATCAGGAAGATAGATCTTTGGCTCATCGACAGATGACTTGAATTTGTCGCCAAAATCTTCTTCCAACTTCTTCTTTAGATCGTAATAGCTGGCAGTCAATAAGCCGAAATGCGTCTGAAGATCAGTAATCTGCTTCGTCTTCAGTGCTTTATCTTCAATAAGTTCGGCAACTTGAATATTGAGCTTTGCATTTTCAGTCTGAAGGTCTGCAACCTTGATATCCAGCTCAATATTTTTCTGATCTAAATCAATATTTTTCTGATTCAGAGCATCGATCTCCTTCTGAAGTCCAAGTATGGAAGGATTCTCTTCTCCTGAGCTGCCACCCCCAATAGAAATTCCTTTGCCACGTGAGGGAGGCGTTGTGAATTGTTCTTCAGCCAAATGCCTGGCTAGCCTCACAGAAGCAGCATCATGGTCTGGCCTGGGAGGAGAGAAACCTGTGGGGAAGGAAGAGCCACCAGCTTCATAGAAGGTACTAGGACCTTCACTGACGGGTTCAGATGAAACAATGGCAGGAGTAGTTGTTGGTGGAGTTGTAAAGCTTTGAAATACACCCGAATCAGGAATTCCCTGTCTAGGGTCAAGTCTTCATCTTTTTGTTGGAGGTTGAGAGGCCTGTGTACTTGTGCGATCACTTTCCAATGGCTCAGATGTAGGTGGAACAATATCAAGGGGAGGAGTCCCTGACACTGTCACCATAGGAATTGCTATTTCCGCCATTGGATTGGTAAGAGGAGGCGTGGCTTCGAGAACATCTTCATTTTCCCTTATCTCTGTTGCTGGATGAGCAACTTCACCGATATTGTCAAGTAGCGTGTTGAGGTTTTCACCGGTCATGAAGTCTTCATTACTACCAAAACTTAAAGGAATTTCATCGTTATCGAATCCTGTGAGATCGAGGTCTTCATACAAATCAGTCTCCGTTCCACTTTTAGAAGACCCCTCATTATAATCACTTTGGACCTGAACAGATGTCAGTTCATGTTCCTCAGCTACTTGAGCATTAGGAGCAGGAGTTTATTCTTCTTCAGCGCGATCTGACACTGTAATAACATCATCTTCCGAAATGACTCTCTCCGAAGAAGTGGGCTCAGATGACATTTTGTCTGACGTTCCATGAGATTCGGAGGATTCATTTATCTCAGCAAATTTTCCGAATTTTACAAGAGGATGTAATCCTTGGAAGATGACCTTGCCCTTGCGATTCTGCTTAATAAGACCAATAGTGTGGGGGCCCAACGACTTCATATCTAGTGTGTCTCCCTCTTTTACCATCTCCGGAAATTGGGTGTCAATGAACAGCTGAATAAACCTAGGATACAGCAAGAAAGAATCTCTGGTCTCCCGACTTATAGCATGGATGTTTACTAAGAACTCATCCAATATGAACTTTGAGAAGTTGAATTTGATACCAGCAGCCAGTGATACAATTGCCCCTGTGTTCCTGAGCGAGATTTCATCAGCACCTGATCTTCTGCCCGAGATACAGCTCACAAAAACATGAGCCAAGAATCTCCAGTAGGGTGGCATAAGCTTTTTCACTGTGGGAGGATAGATGCCTTCATACCCCATCTTCTTGAGAATCTTTTGCACATCTTCAATCCCGATTTTA